TTCAACTTTTAGCAAATACATGTGGATGAAGTAGAGAGACTGGATATGGAAATCAGGCCTTTCTTATCTCTCCAGAAGGGTCAACAGCTCTGACAAGCCAGTTGGTAGTACAGAGAAGATAGCCCAAATCAATAAAAGATAAATACAATTTCAACTTCAGCAGATGTTTGTTCTCCAACATTTAATAAGATTCTATTGACTATCTATAAACACCAAGTCAATTTTTTCAGTCTAGTAGAAATGCAGACTATACGACATCTGACATTGAGTAGGTTTGCCTGTACAATTGGAGCAGAGCCTTCGTGGTGACTGCTCTGGTGTCATTTAACTATAGGGACCACACTGTCTATCACATGATTCTACACACAACTACAGATAAGTAGTTGGTGCCGTTTAGGATGATAAAGCAATCTGCAAGAACCCAGCTATGTATAAAATGGAAACACTGATGAGCCGGTTACATTATAAGTAGATGGACTATTGTACAATAAGGAATATCACTCAACAGGGGGCCAACAGGCATATTTGACCATGAGAAAATTAATGAAGAAACCTCAGCAACAGTACACTGAAGCAATGACATTTTAAGAAAAGAGGGGGGAGAAAGGAAAGAAGGAAGGAAGGAAGAAACTAAGATGGAACATTTCCTCAGAGATCAATTATATGGTCTTCTCTTCATTTTTTAATTACAAGACCTAACTTTCTGCACTAGATTCACATTACCTAATTTATTTTTTATTTCTCCAACAGTAATTGTCCTGAATATCATGGTCATCTGTGACCGTATACTTACTTTTGTAGAGCTGAATTTTGATACAAACCAATTGTTTTTCATTGAGGACTCTAATTATTGCAATAATTTTGGAGTGGTAGCAGAGGTTGCTGTGGGTGTTTCGAGCATTCCTCTTCAGATAACCTTAAGAGAAATTTCTGTTGATCCTTGGCACTTTGTGATGCTCCCATGCACATGATTTCACCTTGCTGCCTATTATTCCGCCCTGACTTTTTCTTTGGGTATAGGTGAGCTTGAGGTCAATTTGAGGAGATGATTTAGCAATGTGTCAAGTGCTAGAGAAATATGTAAGTTACATTAATTCCAACTGTGTCTTTTTAAATTGTTTTCCGCTTACCCTAATTCTTCTAAAGTATGTATTTGTTAATTTAATTGAGATTATCTGTTTGAGGAGATTCAGATCCTTTTGGGGAAGAAGTAAGTTAACGAAGTGAATTAAGTAAAAGTGAAGTTAACATAGAATAAACATAAAATCAAATAAACACGTCCCTTTCAAAGCACAGTTCAATAAAGAAAGGACTATAAATAATGTGTCCCTTGTCACAGACATACATCTATAGCACACATCCTCACCTGTAATCAATACTGTAAACCTTTCCTGACTAAACCAAAGATAACTATGCATGACTTCCTATTGGGCAGGACAGCTAAGGCCTGGTAAAAACATTAGCAGATTAATGATAGGAAATCAGGGGGGTTGCCTGGGAATATAGAAAGTGCTGTAGGGATATGGTACGCTTATTGTTATGATTCTGAGATAGTACATCTACTGACAAGCCTGCACTGCCTAGAGAGCCACAGCTGATACTGCTCTGTCATGTGGGTCATTCTCTTAAGGAGCAGCAGAAGCATTTGAAGCACTTAAGCTCTCCCAAATGTAAAAACCTTTAAAGTACATTATACTTAATCCTTTAATTTTTAAATATAAAAATCGCTTTGCAATTATTATGGAAAACATCTGCATAAGTAAAATAAAATGAAATTATTGGACTTGTTGCCTAAGATTGGTAGTGACATTCAGTTTTAGGTACCATAAATATTTTGGCAACCATGTCTCATGAGGCCATATGAATGAGTCAGGATAAATAATCTCTAATTTTTTGTAACTAACAAAAAGAAAAAAATTATCTCATCATATAGGCATTTAAATAATAAAAATAAGGGAAATAGTTTAAATATTTCTTTTTAAACAAGGTTCAATACAGGAAAATAGCTAGCCTTTATTTATTAAACATACCATCCCTTTTAAAGCAAAACATTATGCATGGAAATTTATTAATTCAGTGACAAGTTTGGCTTATTTTTTATACTCTGTTTTCCCCCCTCACCATGAAAACGCAATTGAGTTAATCAATTAAAAAAATATAAAGGCAGAAAAGGATTAACATAGAAGGAATACAATTCAAAAAGGTTTAAAGGCTGTCCAAAGTTACCCAGGCAACTTAGATCAAACTCCTAACTAAAAATTTGTTTCTCCAGATTCTGCATATAGGAATTCTGTTTTAATGCGCATGCATGCTGTACTGTGATTATCATGTTGTCATAAGTAACGTGGGTGTTTTCTTCTTGTGATGGCATTAACCTATTAGAGTCAGGAAACTTGGGGTTGCCTGAGATTTTCAGAATAAAATGAAGGAAATGATAATTTAAACTATTGCAATACTATAGCTCATGAAAAAAAAATAAGTCATTGAAAATTAGTGTGTGCATAATTTGCACGGGCCAATGCACACTCCAGTTCTTTCCATTTGCTTTGTCCAGTCGCCATCCACACTAACATGAGTGATCCTTATATCTTTTGGGTCCTATCGGGCTGTAGACAGAATGGGTCGGAGAAGAGTTTAAATCATCGGAGTAAAAGATGATTGGTGAAACCATAAATAGCAACTGTTACAACTGCCAAATAAATAAGAACCTTTAGTCTTTTAGAACTATAGTGAGTTTGCCAGAAGTGGAAACCGGGTAGCAAGTAGAAGATGATAGCTCTCTTATATGTCAAGATGGGTAATGTGGAAATGGGCTCATCAAAAAGCAGGCACCAACCTCCACAGACGGACTTCACTCACACAACGGCCTCATTGGTTCTCATCCCAATTCCACATTTTCAGTAAACAACCCTGGCTTTTCCTATTAAACTCTGTTTCAGTCAAGGAACCTCACATCAGAATCTTTCACACAGTTTGTTAATTTTCCAAGAAATTTAATTTCTTGAGTTTTGCATCTTACCGTTTTTGGCAACTCAATCGTATAAAAAGTGTTCTTGCTAATATGTGGCCATTCTTTGACCAGACTTATCCATTTAAGATAAAGATTGTATTATGCATAGAAAGTGGAAAACCTCTGCAAATTATCAGACTACCTAGGGAAAGTTTTCCAGAGAAGATTCCACTTAGTAGGGCTCACCTGAAACCGTAGTTCTCTTTTATAAGGACCGAAGCATAAGGGGAACCGAGAGCTTTGCTCCCGGCATCTCAGATGATATCGAATCCTAAAACACCATCTTCTAATTTGTGAATGTCCAGTAAGTATGACTGTATGACTTTGAACTTAAACAATATTAACTGTGACTTTTCTTTTTCTTCTGGAATTCGAGGGCCTCTCTCTAATCTCTCTAATTCCAGCTTGCCTCCTTTCCCCCCAAAATACCCGGTATTCCTTCAGGCCTACCCTCAAGATTTAGTCTCAGATTTTTTACTTAGGCCCAGTGGTTCAGTATCTCAAATGTGATGTATACCCGGGATAGTTGAATGCTTGCAGTATTGCCTGATTTAAACCAGAGATCTAAAGGAAATTCTACTCCACAGAGTTCTGAGCACCCAAGACTGCAGAGGAGAGACCAGTTAAAGAACCCTCTCTTTTTCACTCTGTTGTTTTTGTTGTGTTTATTTGAAACAAATCTCACTTAGTAACCCAAGCAGGCTTTGAACTCTCAACCCTTATTCTTAATAGTGCAGAAATGAGATTTCATCATGTTGGAAGATGTTGGATGTTTCTCATGCTTCCCTTGACTGCTTGTGCTTTAGTGTCCTGTTCCGCAACATTCCGCACACTCTACGTGCAGTTTTGGAATAAACTGCACGGACGAGTTCCTCTGCTCACTGTTTCCCAAGGAGCCCTCAGCCGTTCTTCCATACTCAACCTTATCTTAGGACCAATATTCCTCCTCATTCTCAAAAGCTCTCATATATCAATTTCCAAGCCCTAAGTACTAAACCGACTTATGAAATTAGAGATCCTGCCTCCACCAAGAAAACATACACATAAGACTTTGCCAGATTCTGATTTCTTAAATTTAATATATATGTTCCAAAGATATTGTTTGTAATTCCTAACCCAGACACGAATGCCCGAAGATAGCCTGAATCACAATAGTGGAAAGCAGATCCCAAATGATTTTCATGAGTAATCATAGCTGTGATTATGAACTTGATTGTTGCCAGGGTTTTTCAGTTTGATTTTGGATATGATTTTCAATATCAGTTTTAGGTGGTTTTCCTGAGTTGGTATCTATTAGAACTAAATAGATGCACTTATGAGTGCTTTATGTACACAAAGGAAGATTGAAAATGAACTTTTAACATTGCATTATATCATAACTATTGTTCATGATTTTGTCCATATTTTAAAATCAGAGAAAATGTGCCTTACACTCCAAGTTTTATTTAAATATTCAGATTAATAAATTAATAAACATGTGAATGCTCACACATTAAAATATATTGTGACTATACAGTTAGTTACTCTCTTATATCTGTGGTTATTGCTTCCACAGTTCCAATATGGACATACAGGTTTTTAAAGTGTTATACCTATCCTGGACATACCAGTACTTTTCTCATTATTCCTCAAACAAATTGTTTATTATTATTATTATTATTATTATCATTACAGTGTAATAACTTCTCAAAGCATTTACTTTACATTGGGTATCAAAAGAATCTAGAGAAGACTCAAAGAATAAGGAATAATGTGCTTAGGTTATAACTAAAAACTGTCCTGTAGAAAGGATCTGGGTATCATCACATTATTTACATCACAGTACTGAAAGATGCAGGACAAAGTCCACATGGATACTGGATATTTCTAATCTTCTCTAAATTATTCAATTTAAGGCCTCATATGTATGAAGCAAACATAAAATCCTGTGTTTGAGAAGAGTGTTAATGTGTTCTCATGTACTTAGTATAGACCTCTGTTTGCATTGCAGAACTCTTGGACCTGAACAGGACATCCATATTTCAAAGTCCCCTGGGATTTCTTGATCTCCACACAATGCTGCTGGATGAGTACCAAGAGCGGCTCTTCGTGGGTGGCAGGGACCTTGTCTATTCCCTGAACTTGGAACGAATCAGTGATAACTACAGAGAGGTATGGAAACACCAGCTCTTTGAAAAGGGAATGAAAGAGGGGTGGAATTGCAAGCATGTTTCCTGACATTTTTTCTTATTGCATCTATCGCTTTCAAATTTGGAAAGATTACTTAATTGAAATAAAGTCATCTTCATAAAGGAAACAATTTGGGGAAAAATTTAAAGCCTTGTGTATGAACTTTTCTAGCTTGTCACTGATACCAGGATTTGGAGAGAGACACTTTCCTTGTGATTTGATGCTCTTACTTTGGTCACTATACCCACCCACTGTGTGGAGACCTGAGTTAGAGGGTCCTGGATTATTAGCCGTGCCTCTGGGCTGTATTGTTCCAGCATCCAAATATGGACCTGTAATATCAGCATAACTGCCTCGTGTACTTTTCTTGGTAATATTATTAGCTGAGATGGATGCTCCCCAAGCTTGCTGGAAAGTGCATTATTAAAGTAAAAGCAGTGTTGAAAATGGTTGATGATGAGAAGAAAAACGGTGTATACAAGAGAGAATCGGGTTACGTTCCTCGGAGTCATATCAATTTTACATGAGATAGGAAGAAATTTAGATTGTAGATTTGTGGCATTGTATAGGTATGAAAAAAAATGCACTTTGTGCTTTATTTTGATGGTCATCAAAATGAGCCAAAATTCCTTTATTCAAATTCAAAATTCTTTAAAAAATATGACAAAAAACAGCATTGCTCAGTCTTTGCCAAATCCTAATCTCTAGAGGAAATAGTTTAGAAATGTTTTTCTGTTTCTTCTGGTTCTTGCTGTTTTATTTTTGTGTAAAATTCATGCACAAGAGCTGGGGCTAGAGCTTAGTAGGGAGCATGTAATTAGCACTCATAAGGCCCCTGCTTCCGCTGCAGCCATCCTAACTTCCCTACAAATAAGAAAGCATCCATGTACCGCTTGCTGTCCATGCATAGAAGTGTGTTTAGATTTGTGTAGCATCTGCTAACTTTAGGGAAGACATTGCATCTACCACTTTCCAATTTGGAAGGAACATAATTGAAATAAAGTCGTCGCTATAACTGATTTTAGTTAAACAATGTTGGCTTTTCATATTTGCAGGAAAAGAAGGGAGGGTGTGATTGAACCAATGACTTTATGCATGATACACTCACACATATAGATATATAAATACAGCTTGCTCAATCCATATAAAGTTACTCTTATCTATATTACTTCAGAGCTGACTACTTCTGTTGGATACCCAAGGGTCTTCATTTGGCTTCAAATAAGCACACGACATCTCTCTTCTAGTGATTTTCTACATGAATGCAGACATATGTACATGACCACCAGTTAAGGTCTATGGATTATTCCCTCACTGATTGGATGGCCTCTTTCACATCTAAAACTCTCTTTCCAAGTCACTCTCAGTAGTAATATGTCAATTTACTCAGCTTTTCTGTGATGGAATAGGTAACTTAGAGGCAATAAATAAATAAATAAATAAATAAATGAATTAGACCACATAATAATGTACCTGTTAATATCTAAGCACCAACAGATAAGCAACTCAAGGGACCCTGCCCCCAGCAGCTGAACAATTTGCCACTGGTAGGTTCTGAGAGAGGGACTCAATGACTTCAGCTGGGTACTCCCTGTGACCCTGTCAGGCCCCAATGGAATTCTGGGCCCATATGTGGCCCTTGATAGACGAAAAAGTCACAAAGCCAAACCAAGTGTCATTAATCTTGGAAAAGGGGTATTAGAGCTGACAAGTGAGGACTTGACGGTGACAAGATGACTAGGGGAAAGAATTAGAATACATATTTTTCATGTATGAGATTGTGAAAAAGCAAAATGAATCAATATGTTATTAAGCCAGATCAATCTCTGTTAACGTTGCTAGCATGTGGCCTGAGGGGACAGCACAGCAGGGGAAAGTTCTTGCTGCGCATGTCTGAAAACGTGGGCTCAGTCTCTGATGTACCTAATCTAAAAAGAGAACTGAATCCCAAAGCTGATCTCTAACTCCAGACACAATATGTGACACGCCCCCCGACCCATCAAAAGATAAAATATTTAAAAAAAAAGAAAATAGAATTTCTAATTTAAAAGATGTTCCCTGAAATCTAGCCTCTTGGAATGTGAGTGATATTTGCGTTACAGACAGGGTTCTTACTCTGTAATCTTTGGACTGGATCCATCATCTGATAGAAGGTCCTGGACGTTGTGAGCAGCCTCCTAGGGCATACAGTCGCGTAACCATTTTCCTGAGCTGTTTTCTCCTCTGGGGACGGAGAGATCAAGATGCGGCAGCCCTTCAGGTTCCCATTCAGAGTAGAGAAAATTGGATCTCCTGCCTATTCCTCGTTTATTGTTTTGCCCTAATTGTACCCTCAGGCCTTTAATGCCAGAAGATGAGATTTCATGGAGGAAATGATCCCTGAAAATAATATAAGAGTAGGCGACCCAGAGCATGCTGGGGTTTTATGAACTAACTCTGAGGGAGCAATAGAGAAGCATGAGACTATTGATCTTCAGGGTGTGTCTAGCCAGGATGCCAATGAAAGTAACTTACAACACTAATAGACTGACTATCTTCTCTGTACTGTTGATTTTGTGAGGCCCAACGTTTACACATTCTTGGGAGCCTTTTCAATGTAGCTAATTCAAACGTAACTGTCAATATTACATAGGCCGCTGTCAGGTCTACAGCAGGGGCAGATCCCATGGAATTGTGCTACGGTTTATGACTACTTGACTTTAAGGTAGCATGTTCAACTTACATTTCTTCGTCTGCCATTGTTCTGTCTGTTCCACCCAAATAATTAGCAATCTAACTCCTAGCAACCCAATAAGCCCTGCTCGATTGTGTCTACTTACAATAGTATGCGAGGGAGGGATGCTTCACTGACCGTCTGTTTTAAAATGAGTGGGCTTCACATGAGGTGAGTTCTCCAGTGGTCTCACTTCTGAAATCTAGGTGATGTGAGCAAGCTCTCCCACTGAGTTTCCCACTGAGGTAGTGAGTCACTGGGGTAGAGTCTGAGAACATGTGTCTAAGTTAGGGTTTCTAATATTGTGAAGAGTCACCATAACCTCATAAACTCTTAGAATAGAAAGCATGTAATTGGGACTGGCTTACAGTCCAGAGGTTTAGTTCACTATTGTCAAGGCAGTACACGGAAGCATGGAGATCGACAGGGTGCTGGAGAAGGAACTGAGAGTTCAATATCCGGATCTCCAGGCAGCAGAAAGAGAATGCCACACTGGGCCTGGCTTGACTATCTGAGATCCCAAAGCCCACTCACCCCCAGTCACAGACTTTTTCCAACAAAGACACATCTGCTCCAACAAGGCCATATTTCCCAGTAGTTCCACTCCCTATGGGTCTATGGGAACCGTTTTTATCCATACTACCACATTCCAATTTCAGTTCTCTCTCTCTCTCTCTCTCTCTCTCTCTCTCTCTCTCCCTCCCTCCCTCCCTCTCTCCCTCCCTCTCTCTTTCTCTTCCTCCTCCTCCTCCTTCTCCTTCCTCTCTGTTGCCTGCTTGCACTTAAGATGTGATCTCTCAGTGCTGGTATGACTTCTCACCATGATGGATTCTTATCATTCTGGAACTGTAAACACAAGTGTATCTTCTTTGTATAAGCTGCTTTTGATCATGGTGCTTTATGACAACAGAAAATAGTTATGATTGTGTACAAGTAATCCCCAAGGTCTTGATAATAAAATAAGTGTCTCCAGATATTTTCTTATTCCCCAGGAGAAAGCATTACTCTAAGTCAATCTTCTCATCTATATTCAAGATTAGTCCCTCCCATTAACACCGCCACCACCACCACCACCCAGCCTACCTGTGGATCTACCTATTGTACACATCCTTCCTTCTGTTTTGTTCATCAAGTATTTTGGAAAATATAGTCAAAGCCTATTTTTATGATCACATTTTACTTTTTCATTTTTTAGTTTTAATATGTTTAAGATGTAAATCAGTAACTCAGATACCTTAGAGCGGTGGTTCTCAACCTTCCTAATGCTGCGACCCTTTAATACAGTTCCTCATGTTGTAGGGATTCCAATTATTCTTGATACTACTTCATAACTGTAATTCTGCTACTGTTATGGATCATGACACAAATATGGTATTCAGGATATCTGATAGACGACCTCTATGAAAGGGATGTTCAACCCCCAAAGGGGTCATGGCCCAAAGATTGAGAAGCATTGCCTTAGATAATACAATAATAAGAATCACTAACCACCTCAAGATGAGGGTATCACCAATCCTGTTATGAGGGTGACTATATTTGTCTTTGTTTTACTTCTCTATGCATCTTCTGCTAAGAGAAGATAATTTTCCTTGTTTTCAGTTTTCAAAATGATTTTATTGCATGCTCTCTATACTCTGTATCAATTAGTGTAGGTGACTAGCTGTGAAAAATGACATACAATAATACATTATAATTTCCAATTGTTTTAATTTTCATTTAATGTCATTTTGTAGATTTAATCCTATTCCTCATTTGTGTTGGATCCTTGCTGTTAGAGAAGGAATGGCTACCAGGGGTCATAGCTCTGATTTGCGAAGCTCAAATGTTGACTCTTCATTTATAATGCTGTGTGAATCCCTTCACTTCCCTGAGCCTCTGTTGCACACTTGTAAGAGGCAAATATTAGTCCTCTTGCGTATACAAGATTTGTTAATTTTGGTGAAAGACCACGTGAGGTTTTCAGCTACTCAATTAATAACCTGTATAAGTTCTTGTTATTCTCTTCGGTCTGAGGAATGTTTTCCATTAAATAAATACTTTATCATTCCATGTCACATGATTCTGGGTGGATTCTGGTGTTGGGCTTCCTAGTGCTTCTAAGCTTATTCTAGAACGCCTCCTCTGCTATACAAACACAGAAGTGCTCCCAAAGAATCCACGCAGAAGTAGAATCATTAACTTAATGATACCCAAGTGGCGCTTATAAAAGATGGGACCCCAGAAAACCTTGCCAAATTCTTCCTCCACCATGAGATAGCTGCCAATTGTT